GTATGGATTGGGATAACAGTTGTATGAGCCCCTAATAAAATGTTAAAAAAAAAAAAGAAAGCTGTGTTCTCCAGACCAGGTTACGAGGCACAGCTCATGGGTGACGGGGAGTGGGCAGGGTGGGGAGCTGCGGGGTGGCGCACACACTGGGGCTCAGAGCCACGCCCACCAGCCCCGGGGGCTGGCGGGTGAAAGGGTTTTTGGTCCGGTCCCATCTCTCCGAGCACCCAGGTTGGTGCTCAGCTCCCCAGGGGCAGGTGGGCAGCCACTGACCGACCGTGGGAAGGCCGCAGCCGCCCCTTGCACCTGAGGTGGGGCACCCAGCGGGAGGCCTCACACCGCCTGCCCCGGGGACCCGCCTACCTGCCGCGGCTCCGTCAGAGTCCCGTCCACGTCGAAGAGGCACAGTACCGGGCCGAGGGTCGTCATATTTCTAAAAGCACACCTAAAGGGACTCGCCGGCACTCAGCGCTCGGCAGGAACTTCCGGCTCGGTAGGCAAGCCACGCGGCACCCCGGGACGCTGAGAAGCACCGCCTACAACGCCTGGGGCTGGCGTTCAGCCGCGGTCTCTGAACCACAACTCCCAGAATGCAAAACGCCCTTACACGTGACGCGCATGCGACGCGCATGCGCTCTTAGAGGTTCCCGGGTCAAGCGCGATTCATTTCCGGTAGCGGGCCGTGAGGCCATGGTAAGAGGGAGGTGTGCGGAGAGAGGGAAAGCAGGTGACGCGCTTTCCAAAGGGGTCGGGGTCGGGGTCGGGGTCAGGGCCAGGGCCAGGGCTGGGGGCTGGCGTGCTGGGTGGCTGGGAGTCCACGAGAGGACGCTCCGTCCGGGGTCACGCTTTGCTGCTGAGTGCCGAGGTCGCCTAGAGCAGTGGACGGAATGGCTTACATTTGCTGAGCGTTCGCTGCGGGTGCAGGGCTCCTTTGAGGGCTCGGAGAGGTTGAGTAACTTGCCCAAGGATGCACAGCTAGCGGCCGCGCGGGCCTGGGTGGGGAGCCAGAGCCCGGAGCTGTGCAGAGGTGCAGAACTGTGCACGGGCTTTGTGCCGCGTGCTCCTCCCCACTGCCGGCTCCATCAGACTGGATGGGCCAGTTTCGCTGATAGCCATCTCCCTAGATCCCGCTCAGAATGCTTGCTTTGTTTCCTGCGGGGTTTACTCATTCAGCCCAGGGTTGGCCCTCCTGAGTATTTGTTAAGGAGCCCTGGTGGCACAGCGGTTAAAGCGCTCGGCTGCTAACAACCGTCTGGAGCTCTGCAGCCACTTTGCGGGGGGGAAAAAGAGTTCACCCCACCTCGAGGGTCAATGGATGGTGCGGGGTGTTTGTTGCTGAATGAAGGCTGCATCTTTTCTGTACCAGCTTGTAACAGTTTAAAGGTCAGCCTCCAAGGGCATACAGCTGTGTGCCCTCAGGCAGATAGCTTTCACACCCTCTCTGGGCTTGCTTTTCTCAGTGGTAGAGTGGAAGTAGCATTCCACAGCGATCAGGATGACTCTGGTGCCAGGAACAAGGGTCTGGGATTGCTTGTCACTGTTTTCAGCCAAAGACAGACAAGGTTGATATGAAAAACTCCTAAGTTTATTCTGCGAATGCCAGACAAGACAGAAGGAAACGGTGGGGTTTGCCACCTCCAAACGGCTTCAAAACTCCAGTGAATATTTAGGAAGTTCTATCCCCCCAAAACTATGTTCAAAAGCAGACTTTGCGATGGTCACAGGAAACAGTGCTCTATGCCTACATTTCTCCAAGGGCTACCATACTCCACTGCTGATCCAAACAGGGATGCTTCGTAGTACCTCGTTACCTATTGTAATGACTGCCTTCCTGAGTTAGAACATCACTACTGATTAAACTTAAAAAGGAGTTTTTACTGCAAAGGTGGGCTGTTACATGTTGGATTTCCAACAACTGAATCTTAAATTCTGTTGTATTTCTAGTCTGCTGAAGAGCAGGCTAATGCTTTCCCTGCTTTGTCAAAACTGGTGGCCTCCCAGCATTACCTGTTGCCTGTGGGACCTGCTGGGCAGCCTGTTGGTGTGTGAGTAGCAACAGTGAGCACCCGGAGAGAAACGGTGGTTTCTTTGTCTCCCTTCCAGGCTGTCATCCGAGCTGTGTCCCGGTGGTGGTGGTGGTGGCCGGCTGCCTCAGGGAGGCCCCTCCTGGGGCTGAGGTGCCGCAGTGAGCGGGTCCCTAGGAGGTGGGAAGGAAGTAGGCTGCCCACCTTGAAGGAGATGCCATTGGGCCCAGGGACAGAGAAATTCCAAATGGTCTACCGCTTTGATGCCATCCGAACCTTCGGGTACCTGTCACGGCTGAAGGTGACACAGACGGCCCTGACGGTGGTCCTCCTGCCACCCGGCTTCTACTTGTACTCCCAGGACCTCGTGAACCTCAACACGCTGTACCTGGCGGCCACCACTGCTGGCTTTGCCCTGGCCATGTTGTGCTGGATGAGCCATTTCTTCCGCAGGCTGGTGGGCATCCTGTATGTCAACGAGTCTGGCACCGTGCTGCGAGTGGCCCACCTGACCTTCTGGGGTCGGCGGCAGGACACCTACTGCCCTGTGGCCGACGTGATCCCCCTCACAGAGACCAGGGACCGGCCGCAGGAGGTGTTTGTCCGTATCCAGCAGTACAGTGGGAACCAGACCTTCTACCTCTCACTGCGCTACGGACGCATTCTTGACAAAGAGCGGTTCACACAGGTGTTTGGGACACTGGGCACGCCCAAGTAAACACCGGATGTTGGCCTTGGGTAGCCCCAGGCTAGCCAGCTCTCTGTCAGGCCACAGTGAGGGACCGGCAGCTGCGGACACTGCCGGGGTTCCTGGGAACCTCCTGGCAACACCATGGGGTTCTCAAGCTGTGACCTCTGGGAAGCAGATTACCAGGACTGATGGCTGCAGTGCGTCCAAATCAGCTTGACAGCCGAACATGGTCGCAGGCACCAGGGAACTTGTCTCAGGGGGACAGACATTCCACTGACTAGTGGAAAACCCTCTGTGCAGATGTTCCCCGCATCTGTTTGACGGGCAGCCAGGTAGGGGCCAGAAGCTTCCAGTAAGGAGCCAGTTCTTGGAGCTGACTCATGGGAAGCCGAGCTGCCTGCCAAGCATGGTGGCGGAAAACACGGAGTCCTGAGTTCTGGAAGCACGCTGAGTGGAGTTGTTCAAGTCTAAAATGGGAAAGCCTGCTGATCCCTTGTGATAAACACTATCACATTGTGAGCAGGTGTGGTCCTTGAGGTCAGAGCCTGTACCAAGCATCCAGGCCATAAGGCAAGTCCCTACGTGTGTGTGTCTCCAGGGGCTGAAAAGACTGGCAGAAAGCCTGGATACGCGCCACAGCCACGCACCAGTGGTCACTGCGCGCCCACGGGGCAGGCAAACCCAGAGTCCTGTGGGGATCTGCTCATTCCAAGGTTCCGCAGTGTAATAAAGCCCTGACCTGTTACTGCTGCTTTATTTCATCCACAGGAGCCTCCTGTTATAAACCAGGTCAGGCATCTCAGGTTTTATAGGCTCGGTCCCAATCATTGCCATAAAGTGTGTCACACGAATGTCTGAGTGTGCTGTCTCTTAGCAAAGGTGCTAGGGAATCCCTGGTGGTGTAGTAGTTGTGGACTGGATACTAACTGCAAGGTCAAAGAAAGGATGTCCTGGTGGGCTTTTCCATTCCATCCCTGTCCCAGCCCTGCCCTGGCTGCGCCTCTCTGAAGGCTCCCCAAACAGCAGGTTGCCCGTCCTCCCCACGGGACCCCTGCCTCCAGGGTCCTCTGCTCACCACCAGCAAAGGGTGCAGGGAGCCACGGCGGTGTCCTGTGCAGTCAGGCTGTCGCAATAGCCAGGCTTGGGGCCAGGCCTGAGAGCTCAATCAGCTGTAAACCCGGAACTTGGAGAACAGGGGCCCTTTGCTTGGCCTCCGTAGGCTCTGTGAGAATTCCCAGGCATTCCAGAGTTTGGGCATCGTTGCCTGGGTTCACCTTTTGCCACAGCCTGGAGGGGGCCAGAACCCAGAAGTCTAGGTTTGGGAGAGGGAGTATTGGGAATCAATCACCCCTCTGACAGTAATTGCAAAGCAGTTCAGTAGACACTGAGAATATTCAGTTAGGCTTCTAATGGCCCCCACGAATCCCAAACCCGAACACCCCCACAAGCAAACCCCTAAGTGGGCAGTAGGCCAGGTTGTCACTTGCAGAGGAAGGCTAAGTGGAGGCCACGTGTCCACGTGGTGGAGTGTACGTGAGGAGGGAGGTGGGGCTGAAGTCTTTGTGACGGGCACACCGTTCATCGTAAGTAATGGAGCAAAATGCCACACCACACTCTCATTCCTGTCCCCTCCTCTCTGGGCAAAGAGGAAGTTTCCCAACCATGGATTCCACTTCTGGGCTAGGTGGCAGCGGGCAGTGCTGCCAGTCTGTTGAGAAAGGCCCTGGCCCCGTAACCCAGATGCTGTCTAGCAGCCCTGGACCACAGAGCCTGTGTGTGACAGAGCAGATGTGTGGTCCACAGCGGTTTCATTGGCTGCTTTTTCTGAAGCACGTTGCCAGCCCTTTCTTCCAACGTACCGAGTGGACATGAACCTCCAACCTTCTGGCCAGCATCCCTGCACAGTAACTGGCCCCCCAACCCAGGGGCTGTGTACAACTTAGGCCTGAGGCAGGCAGGCTCTGCAAGGGTCTGTGTCCCTGTCCTGGCTGCCCACAGCATGCTGGGGTCTGCCTACCGTGGGTGCAACACGGGGCACATGGGAAGTCCAGCCCAGCGGTAGCTGCTGCCCTTAACTATACCAGTGGCCCAAAGTACGCCTTACCTGGTCACAGGGCCGGATGTCCCCAGCCTGCTTGGAGCACAGCCCAGACAGTCGGGATGAAAGTGGTGCCCAGGGCTTCCTGTCCATCCCTGCTTTGTGACTTCAGAAGCCCTGGGGTGGTAGGGGTGCTGAGTGGAAATTAGTTGGACGCCAAGCAGAGTCCAACTTTTATGGCTTTACTTTCAGCCGGCACCTTCTGCTGGAAAACTTTCCCTGTGGTTCGGTGGGCCAGTGAACACCTACCTGGCCACTCTGGTGACAGTGCGTCTTACTGATTCACCCTTGAAATGTATTCCAGGGTTCCCCTGAACTTGAACCTGCGTTGGGAAACAGAGTTAAAGATTTACGAGCGAGAACTCTGAGGGAAATGGGGCCCTGCTCTGGGAGGCTACATGGGAAAGGAATTGCCTTTCACTTTCAGCTGCTTAACTAAAGGCTGGAAGGTCGAGGCTAGCCCCGGGTACCTCAGAAGAAAGTCCTGGCGATCTCCTCTTGTACATATATTTAAAAGCAGCCCTTGAGAACCTTGTGGAGCACAGCTGTACACACAGAGAATAGTGGCAACTTTTATTATTTTTTACAAGCAGCAGTGTGGTGCCCATTTCGTTTTCTCGATAACACTGTTCTACTGAGCCCCTTGTGCGGCAGAGAACTGTGGTCCACAGGGCCCTCAAGGGCTGCTCCCGCCTCAACCCCGACATTTCTTTTGAGAAAGGAGGTGCAGGGGCAGTGAACTGTTTGATGTGACTCTTCTAGCTAAAGTCTGTAACTCCCACCAAAGGACCTTTCCCTGAATGGGCCTGGTTAACAGGATTCCCTGGCATGGCATCCTGTTGTGCATAAAATGAGCCCTGGGAGAAGCAGGAGGAGGGGTCTCATTACCAGCAAGCGCCAGGAGTGGAGCACATCCTCTGGTCCCGAGATCCCTGCGCAGTGAACCCCCTGGATCCAGATGACAGCTGTACCCCAGCAGAGGAGCAGCGCAGAACAGGAGTCAGAGCAGAGAACAGAGTGAGGGGCTTCCCAGCCCACAGAGCAAGTCCGGCGGAGTGCTTTTGTGTAGGTGGTGGACCGTGAGGAGTGGGGAACCTCGGGCCCTAGAGCCAAGTGCCTGCAGGCTGAGAGACTGACTGGAGTGGGGGCCTCTGGGCACTAATTCAGGGAGCTGGGTTTGCTGACCATGGAGGAGCTTGAGGTGAATGCCTTCAGGTGGAAGCTTACAGCAGTGCTAGGCCCCCTTGGACATTTATTAGCATACCGGAGAGACCTTTGTAACCTGTCCCGGTGAACAAAGACCCTGAGCATCTCTCACTGGCATGCCAACTTGTTATCATCCTTAATAAACCCTTTCATCACGAATTTTGTTGACTTCCATGTAGCCACCCGGGGTAGACACCAACCTCCAATCTTTCAGGTAGGCAGCTGAACTTGCTAACTGCGTGCACCATCCAGGTGGTTGCCAGGTGTCCCTGACTTGGCTTTGCCTTGTGGTGACTCAACTTGTACCAGCCTCACAAACACTGCTGTTTGAACGACTTGCCAAATGATTACCTAACAAAACCAGTTTCCGACCTCTCCCCCTCCCGGAAAAGGCCAGAAAGTTCTTTTATAATTTTTTTTAAAAAGAATATTGACTGACATGGGAATGGATTTAATTCACGGCATTTTGCAAGAGTCATCAGTTACCGAGTGACAGGTTGTTAAATTTCATTTATTGGCACTGTCAACAGAACCCTGCAAACAAGATCACTTTGTAGACATCAGTAGGCGGGGTCCCTTAGCTGTGGCTGTCTACCAGGAGTGGATACATATATAAGTCCAAGGATATATATGTATACATTTACAGTTAGGTATAGGCATATAGATACTTTAATGCTTGCAGTTTGTCATGGTTACTGAGTGTCAGTAAAAATTATAAAAAACACCCATTTATAATAAAAGTGAGGATGTGCGCTAAGACTTGTAATTACTGCATTCGTTTTCTGGGAGAGTGACAAAACTTCACTAGACACACGGGGGGAGCAGTGGCACTACTGTGTGATGGGCTTGTCTGCGGCCCACCCACTTCTTCATGGGTTCTAAGTCACCCAGGAGGGCAGCTGCCCAAGGGTGCTCACCCACCTCTCCCACACCTCCACAGCGTGAGCCCTGCAGCGTTCTCGGCCTTGCATGTGTCCCCCTCTGCCCACTGCCCCCTTGCTCCTCAAAGCTCCCTGTGCCTGAGTCAGCAAGAACTTGTGGGTAGAATGGCTTATGATTTTTCATGAGAAGCCGTGTCTCGGTGAGAAGAGTGAGTCTGGAAATGGCTTGCACATAGAAAGGATTCCCTGCCCCAGTCCACGCCGAGGGAGGACAGGAGAAAATATTGGAGTCACTTCCTCGAAGACATTTCTGATTGTGCCCTGGCTTAATGACCCTCCAGTGCTAAAGTTCTCAGGAGAAAGACCACTTAAGCCAGTGGGTGAGCTGTGGTTGTGTTTGCATCTGGGGCTTGCTACCTGCGGTTGTGACCCTTGCCATCTTGGAAGTTGGCTCCACAGTGAAAGGCTTGAGACCTTGAGGCAATGCTCTTTCTGGCCTTGTTTGGTGAACTCCTATGCACCCTGCAAAACCCTTCTACAAAAGCCACTTCCTCCCGGAAGCCCCCTCTGATTTCCCGTTGCTCCTCACACAGACCCATCTTAGCACTTGCCACTCTTGCTTTCTCAAGACTTGTTGCTAAAGGGCGAGGAGCTCCTCAATCAACAGAGAAGGGAGTCTTTTTCACCTTTGTCTCCCTGGTGCTAGTGCTCCCTGGGGTCTGGGGTGGAGCAGGTATTTCATCAGAGTTGGGTGAGTGTACAAGTGAAGGAATACATGAACAGACAGGTGTGTGCAACCTTGCAGAGAGAGGGAGGCAGGCATGTCCATACAGGTGGACAAGCACATGCCATGGGGCATGCCAAAACTCCTACAATATCACTGACTGCTGGATGCTACCTGGTGGGGAATCCTACACCTGTCTGCGTTGGTAACACACCTGAGGGTCTGGCACTCCTGAACATGGTTAGACAAATGCCAAATGCTCAGCAGAGGAGACCTGGCATCCTTTGGGCAGTTAGTTACCACGAGACCAGTGCCCAGTCAAGGGCTGTAGGGCATCCTCGATGGGCAAACAAGGCCAATTGGGACTGAAGTGCTCCTGCCAGACTCAGGGAAACGCCAGCTATCCTCCATCTCCCCACTGACCCAAATCAAGTCACTGTAGAACAGTCTAGAAGGTGTATTTGAGGACAGACTGTTATAAGGATGTCTGGTTGCCTAACACCACAGCCCAGCACAGCCTGGATGCCTCACCTTTGGGGGCCACACACAGCCCTGCATGGAGCCCCAGACCTTGGTGCAAAGTTCAAGGAGAGACCCAGCAAGGCTGCCCACAGTGCTTCCGGAAACCCACCAGAGGGACACGAGCAACCACCAAAGGAGCGCAGTCTCACAGGGCCAGGGCCAGAACTCAGCCACTCAGGTCCTGGCTGCGGGGGTGGGGTAGGGCAGGAGGCTGCTGCCTCTGGGTCACGTGCCCTCCTCCCAAGGGCATTGGGTATGCCCCCAAATGCTCAGCAGCAGCTTCCCCTCCACAGTTGAAGCTGGCGTTGAACAGGTGAGAGTTTGGGGATGGGGGACAGTGACCGAGAACCATCAAGATGCCACCCAGAGACCTCCCGAGAGCCCCTAGCTGACAGCCTTTCCCACTGGCCCCCATTGGGT